CCACCACAATCCACCACCACCACCACAAACCACCACACCACCACTCAATCACCACCACCACCACCACCACAACCCACCACCACCACCACAAACCACCACCACCACAGCACCACCAAACCACCACCATCACCACCAACAACAACAACACCAACACCCACCACCACAACTACCACTACCACACCAAACCACCACACAACCACCACCACCACCACCACCACCACCCACCACCACAACCACCACACACCACCACCACCCCACAACAACAACAACAAAACAACAACAGCAGCAGCAGCAGCCAGCAACAAAACACCAGCACCGCAGCCAGCAGCAGCTAGCAGCAGCAGCATAGCAACAACAACCAACCAACAACAACAACAACAACAACAACAACAACACAACAACCAACAACAACAAAACCACCACCACCACCACCACCACCACAAACCACCACCACCGCAACAAACCACCACCACCACAACCACCACCACCACCGCCACCACCACCACCACCACCACAGCCCACCACCACCACCACCACCACCGCAGGCGCCGGCCCAGAAGAGGAAGTCGTCGTCCCCGCCGCCGCCGACGCAGGCGCCGGCCCGAGGAGAAGGAGAGAGGAGAAGTAGGGGAGGAGGGGGAGGGGAGGGAGGGGGTTCGAACCCCCCCCCCTCCCCTCCGTCACGGGATGGGTGGGGGAGGGGTTCGAAAGCCCCCACCCCCTCCATCCAGGGGAAGGGGGGGTCCGGTTCCAACCCCCCCCCCTCCAAGCGACCACAGAACGCGCTCTCTCTCCGTTATAGTGATCCCAAGTTTCCCATAATTCCGAATTGTGGGAAACCCCTTGAGTGCCGACGGGCTCTTGTAGCAAGGATGGTCACCCTGCCAACGCGAGCCAAGTTCCCGTGGCCTCTCTCCGACGGAAGACACAAACCAGCGAGCTGGCGCAGGCCAGTCGAGGCCGAATCTCCAGGAGGAGGAGGAGGAGGAGGAGGAGGAAGAGGAGGAGGAGGAGGAGGAGGCGGAGGAGCGAAACGCGCACCGACGGTCCGACGGGCCAGCCCTGCGAGGTCAGCGCGGGCGGGCTGGGGCTCGGAAATGGATCACGCCGCGGCATTGCCGATCTTCACGTCGTTCCGGGGTCGGAACCATAGGAGCTGGGGTCGGAGAGATGGGGAACCTGGAGTCGGAGAGACAACCACTGCAGCCCGAGTCGGAGAGAAAGGAGCTGGAGTCGGAAGGATGGGCTGGAGACGTGACGGCTCGCTCTGGGGTCGGAAACATCAGATCGGGAGTCGGAGATATGAGGGTCAGGGTAAGAGAGGCGACCAGCGAGGCCAGAGTCGAAGAGAAGGGAGACGGAGTCGGAAAGGTAGGCTGGAGACGTGCACCATGACACTACGTTTTTCGGGGTCGGAGGCATAAGAGCTGGATGCGGAGAGATGGCAGCTGGAGTCGGAAAGACGGCCACTGAAGCCCGAATCGGCGAGAAGGGAGCCAGAGTCGGAAAGATGGATTGGGAACTAAATGTCGAAGAAAGAACATCTGGACTCGAAGAGATGGGCGCTGGAAGCGGAGAGACGACCACTGAGACCATACCGTGGCACATCAGAGACATAGGAGCGGGAGCCGGACAGGTGTGAGCCAGACTTGCAGAAACGGCCATTGAAACCAGTCGGCGAGGAGGGAACTAGAGTCGGAAAATGGGTTGGCGACATGTCGTTCTGGTGCGGAGGCTGGAGTCGGAAAGGCGGGAACTGCAATCTGAGGCATGGGAGCCAGAGTCGGAGTATTCGTGATGCTTGGCCAACCCGACAAAGGTCAGTACATGTTTTAGTGTGTGTGTGTAGTTTTACATGTCTACCTTATACTTTCAGTCTAAAATCGTTCGAATGATTCAGTGGCACCAATGAGCACCAGACTGCTGCTTGCGGTTCAAACTACACGCGTCGAGCCTATGCTCCTCGGGCTTTTTTGGCCGCTGCACTTTGGCATTGCAGCGCCTCTCGCTTCACCACCAGTCTGCATGGCCGTGACTGGGCTCTTTCATCATGGCACGGTCGATTAAGTTCGTCCGCAATTGGCACCTCCACCTGCCGACCGCGCCCGAGGCCCCTCTGCGCCGCCGACTCAAAAGTGCGTGTACAGAACCCAAGACGTAAATTCAAAGCTTCCAAGAATCTCACCATCCCTCTTGGCATAGGTGGTGGTTTACCAAACTCTTATTTTCTCTCGTCCAAAACCCGTCCTTCCCATGCTCGGGGAGGGGGCCTCCCCCGACACCCTCCCCTAGGTCTGGACGGGGCGCCCCGCGAGGTGGCAGAGGGTCCTTCAGACAAGGATGGCCCCAGGAGGGCCTCAGAAAGCCCAAGATGGCCTCCAAGATGGCTCTAGATAGCTTCCGACAAGCCTCCAAGAGGTCCCAAGACAGCCCCAAGACGGCCCCGAGTGCTCTGGAGCCTTCCAAGGCACCCACCAAGAAGCCAAAACCCTTCAACAACTTTGGGAAAACCAATGTGCTTTGTATTCTCACCTTTTCGTTTCCGATTGCCTTTGGGAGCCCCACGATGGCTCCAAGATGGCCCAAGAGAGCCCCAAGAGGGACCCAAG